GGCGCCTTCCCCCCGCCTCCCCCTTCCAGTCCGTAGGCTGCAGGTCTAAGCCCCAAAAAACCAAAGCTGACAGCGGGCGCAGGGCGGCTTTCGGCTTTCCGGCTTCCAAAGGTGCAAGCAGGGGGAGGCGGGGAAAGCCAAAAGCCACTCTGCGCCAGCTGTCAGCTTTGGGCTTTCAGGGCTTAGAAAGCTGGACCCACTGGCCTCTTCCCTCCTGTCCCCGGTGCCCCTGGATATTGAGATCCAGTCCATACATTGCCTCTCCTCAACATGAGTAGCAGACTCACAGCTGTTTGTCCAGACAGAAAGTATGTTTGCAGTCTAGTTCTAGCATAATATTTGTGTGCCATCAAGTCAGTTCTATTTTATGATGACCCTTTTCAGAATCCTCCTGTCCCCGGTGCCCAGTGAGTCCAGCTTTCTAAGCCCTGAAAGCCCAAACCTGACCGCGTACTCAGAGTGGCTTTCGGCTTTCCCCGCCTCCCCCCGTTCACAGCTTTGGAAGCCGAAAGCCGCCCTGTGCCCGCTGTCAGCCTTCGAGCCTTAGAAAGCTGGACCCACTGGCGTCTTGTCTCTTGTCCCCAGTGCCTTCTGCCTCCTGTCCCACGGGGGGGATGGGAGGCAGAGGGCAGCAGGTGCAGCTTTGGAAGCCCCGGATTTTTTTCTTTGGCCAGTTACGGATTAATGGGTTTTCAATGCATTCCTATGGGAAATGGAGCCTCAACCTACAGAATTTTTGACCTGCGGCCACAGTTCCAATACGGATTAATTCCGTAAGTCGAGGGTCCACTGTAATACTTGCTCCACCTGTTGGACCACCAGACAGAAAATGCTTCTTCCACTTTCCTTGATTTTTTTAAAAATAAGATGTCTGATCTTTCAAGCATTACTGATCCTACTGATGCCTCCTGCTGCTGTTCAAGATTCCTTGTCCATCCTTTTGGAAACACTTGGACTAGGCTACTGCCCCCCCCCGCCCCCATAAGGTACACTGAGACACAGTGACTTTGCCCATTCGGGAGCCTATAGGAAGCTGAAAGAGGTGTGATACAGTCTGTTTCATTTTACTCTCTTCCTTAATTTGTTCTTGGGAAGGGAGGTGGTTCTTGGGGGGAGTAGCTGTTTTTTTTTTAATGATGTCCTTTCAGTAGCAAGGTACATTTGAGTTTCTTTGATCAGACAGAATGGCTGCCTTGAAAACATGTCCTTAGCTCCAAAGCGAAAGCAGATCTGCATTAATTTTTTTGCCTTGGGGAAGCTCAACAGAATGCACACTTCCTCAGTAAAGCATTCCAAAAAGTCCTCTTCATTTCATTAGTGAAGCTCTGGCAAATTCCTAGAACATCTTCTCATGTTCAAAAGGTCATTTCCTATCTGAAATATGGAACCAGGACCTATGCAGGAACAAAAATCATTTTCTAAGGAAAGCATCTTGTTGTTTGCTTAGTGATATATTTAAAGTATTCTGGCACATTGAAGTGTAAACACAGTACTTATACAATCATAAAGAGCAGGCCTTCAAACATATTCTACAGGAAAAACAGTGAAGAGCATTTGAAAGGTTCCAATATGGCTTGCTCTGTTGGAGCTACTTCTGGTCGAGTTAGTAAATGTTTCTCAAGCAAAAAAATAAATAAATAAAAATAAAACATTATCAGCCAGTAGTCAAGAATTGCAAAGATAAGTAGGATAAGTATCTAAAAGTAATTACTGGGGATCCAGAGAATTAAAAAAAGTAAAATAAAGCTACAGTAATTGCACAATATTTGCAAAATGAATATACAAGCATGGGACTTTTGTTCAAGCTTTATATATTTGGCAGTAAGGGAAGGGCTTCAAGTAAGTTCCACAGACATATATTTCAGCTAGCCAGAAATTTCTGATTAGCTGAGATATTGACAAGAGGCATAGTCTAATCTTCACGATGTCCATTTACAATGCTAGCTCTTCAGGGTAGATCTTCACATGTATGCCATGGATTTTTCAGCATCTTCTTGTTGCTGCTTCTTACTGTTAACTTAGCCGGGAGGAGTTGGGTGGTTAATTCTTAATCTGCCATTTAGAATTAACCAGCCATATTACCTCACTTCCCTCCTTTGCAAGTTTCTGGATAAAGCACAATCCAGACTGTCTGAACAGTGTGAGGGAGCAAGATAGCCATAGAAGATGCAAATAGAAATCAAATCCACCCAACACTCCCAGTTAAGAAAATTTCTTATAGGAAAAAAAGGGGGTCCTGGAAGGAAAACAATGAATAAATTGAGAAACTAACTAAACCAGCAATGCCGGCCTGTTATCTCAGGCTAACAGAGTAGCAAAGCCTATGACAGGAACCTTTTGTTAGCATTCTGTTTGGTGTCAGGTGGGTTTGAAAAGGATCGCTCACTTTTCCAGGGCCTACTGTATGTTGCTTGTTCACAGGTGAGTTTGATAGACAACCACTAGCTCCACAGCCAGAGAGTAAGAGGTTCATGTAGGTAGGAGAGACTCAAGAAAAAGGAGAGTTGATGACAGTGGCTATAGTGAAAATTGATCAGGGAAGAAGCTAATGCCTTAATGTCAGGCTCCTTTGTGTAAATGAAGAGCCCCAAGATGGACACGAGGCTACAGTTGCAGCCATAGTGGGGAACACTAATACAGGTATTGTGTTCTGGACCATCATAGCCGTCATTGTTATTGGTTATCAGAGGCTAATGCACCATGCTTAAGGAACAGTTGTAGAAGCCAGCTAACAGAGTAGCAAAGCCTATGACAGGAACCTTTTGTTAGCATTCTGTTTGGTGTCAGGTGGGTTTGAAAAGGATCGCTCACTTTTCCAGGGCCTACTGTATGTTGCTTGTTCACAGGTGAGTTTGATAGACAACCACTAGCTCCACAGCCAGAGAGTAAGAGGTTCATGTAGGTAGGAGAGACTCAAGAAAAAGGAGAGTTGATGACAGTGGCTATAGTGAAAATTGATCAGGGAAGAAGCTAATGCCTTAATGTCAGGCTCCTTTGTGTAAATGAAGAGCCCCAAGATGGACACGAGGCTACAGTTGCAGCCATAGTGGGGAACACTAATACAGGTATTGTGTTCTGGACCATCATAGCCGTCATTGTTATTGGTTATCAGAGGCTAATGCACCATGCTTAAGGAACAGTTGTAGAAGCCATGAGACTATGAATGTCTGCATTCAGTAACACTAGCCATGAAATCCCAGTGAACAATATTAATTTAATTTGTCATTTGAGCTATGAGCAATAGTATTAATTTGGCTGCTCATCTACTTTCTCCCCTGGTGGAAATCACAATTAAGTTGTCTCTATGATGGCATTGAAATATTCTCCCAATCACAAGGGAACTGCTTATCTAAGAGTATCTCAGTTTGGCTGATAAAATTGATCAGAGAAGAAGCTAATGCCTTAATGTCAGGCTCCTTTGTGTAAATGAAGAGCCCCAAGATGGACACGAGGCTACAGTTGCAGCCATAGTGGGGAACACTAGTATTGTAGTAAGAGGACACTAGTATTGTGTTCTGGACCATCATAGCCGTTGTTGTTATTGGTTATCAGAGGCTAATACACCATACTTAAGGAACAGTTGTAGAAGCCGTGAGACTATGAATGTCTGCATTCAGTAACACTAGCCATGAAATCCCAGTGAACAACATTAATTTAATTTGTCATTTGAGCTATGAGCAGTAGTATTAATTTGGCCTAAATGTAATGATCTGACTATGTGAGTGGTGCTGATGACGCTTGAGAAGAAAGAATCACTTTGTTTTTCTCTCCCACTGTAACACATCCTCCTATTCGTTTCCACCACTTATTTCTTATTCATTAGTATCTATTTTGTTCTCTTCCAACACTATCACTCCACCTGCCTCTCCCTCTTTGTTGACCTGCTTCATCCTGTCCTTTGCTTGTGAGTCCATCTGTGCATCTTTCTTCCTAAACCTGTAATTTTCTAGGGCTGTTAGTTGCTGATCACTACAGTTCCTGTTACAAGTTTTAAAAGCTTAGGAATTGACAATAAAATCATTCTCAGAGATTTTTCTCATAGGGACACAGATCTTCAGAACCGCCATATTGCACGTGGTGTAAATCAGGGTGGACAGCATGGATACATATGACTACCCACAAGTCTTAGCGTGGTCCCTAAAATCCCTGTCCCTCTAGATTTTAAAACTTGTTTCAAACACTTTTTGTCCTCATAAAGTCCATTTGTATTCTTTAGGCAACCTGAGATCTTGGTTTTGAGAGACCACCTGGGACTCCTGCATAACCCCAGCAATTTTTATTTTTTTTAACAATGTGGCCACTAGAGGGCACAATAGGACCTTTCTGGCAAATAAAATCTTAATGTTGGTAAGAAACACGAAACATGGTCTAAGGTCGGATATGGGAGCAATCTTCCAGGGGTCCAGGGATGGGCATGTGTAGCCACCAAACCAGTGAAAGTCACCAACCCCTGGTGTAGTTGCAACAGATCCCACATGGTATATGAGATCCTGAGGACTCTTTTGAGGACTTCATCTAGCAAAATTTGGATACACAATGCTAGGATTCCAGCTATGTGCCTACAGGTGTGTGTATATGCAGGTACACACACTCTTTAAAATACTTGATCTACACATCAAGTTATTTTCTTGAAATTCCTCAGAGATTTTGACAAGAGTAGGTTTTCAGGGAAGTCAACCTGATATGATGTTACAATCCAGTGTAATAGTATCTGTCCTAAAGAGGTTTTTAAACAAAAATATATGTTGAAAAATCCCCAGACACACAGTTCTCAATCTATTGCAAAGGAATGATTATGGGGTTAGATATTTAAGCTTGTTTTCCTTCTAGGTGACCTATGGCTCCTTTGACTACACATCATTGCTTTACCTTTCTGACTACTCAGAAGACTTTGGTGGTGGTCGGTTTGTCTTTATGGATGAAGGTGCAAATAGGACTGTAGAACCTCGAGCAGGTAGAGTTATTTTCAGTACACACGTCCTAGTAATCCATGTTAATTCTTTAATTTTTTTACCCTGAAAGTCTTGGTTATGTATGTATGTGTGTATGTGTGTATGTGTGTATGTGTGTATGTATGTATGTATGTATGTATGTATGTATGTATGTATGTATGTATGTATGTATGTATGTATGTATGTATGTACAGTAGCACCTCAGCTTACAAAATTAATACATTCTCCAGAATGTTACATAATGAAGAAAATTCGTAAAACAAAACACGGAATTGCCATGTGAACAGGGATGGCGCTACAAACCTCCAGACACAATGTATCCTGGGGAAACTTTCTTCGCAAACTGAAAACCCCTGAAAAAAAATGTAAACCAAGGCACTATTTTCAATGAATTTACGTTCGTAAGCTGAAAATTACATAAACCTAGGCGTTTGTAAACCGAGGTAGTAATGTATGTATGTATGTATGTATGTATGTATGTATGTATGCATGCATGCATGCATGCATGCATGCATGCATGCATGCATGCATGCATGCATGCATGCATGCATGCATGCATGCATGCATGCATGCATGCATGCATGCATGCATGCATGCATTGTGTGCCCTCAAGTCGATTCTGACTTCTGGCAACCCTTTCCAGAGTTTTCCAGGTAGAGAATACTTGGAAGTGGTTTCTCATTCTTTTTTTCTGCAGGTGTCCTGGGACTGTGCCGCAGACTGGCTCTATAGGCAGGGATTGACTTCCCATCCTTTGCCTCCACAGCTAGATACTTAACACCACTCAACTGTCCAGCCAGCTGATCCATGGTTTACCATTTGTTAATCTGTTCTTTGTATGGTGCACATTCTAAATGTTTGTCCTATTACTTTTTTTAAAAAAAATCCTTTCCAACTTGTCAAACCTTTTTGTGAAAGTTGGTTCTCAGAACTGAGTAAGTTAGTCCAGAGACACCTTTTGGTAAAGCAGAATTATTTTTAGTTTCCTGGAAATTCCTTTGAGAGAATTACTCTGTGCATCTCTTTGGTGATATGGTTTATCTACTTATTTTTTTGTGATTAAAAAAATGGGAATTACTGTATTTAGAAATGCTCTTGTACAATGGCTCATCTTTAATCTGTATTTATTCATTCCAACAGTGTTGTTTCTGTCCTTGGTGAATACAGTATCACTTTACTATAAAGTGGTTCTTCTTATTCATGTTGCTTTGCTTTTTTAGTGTTTGTATTGAGTACTTGCTTGAAACCATAGCGATGAAGGATATTTTCTGTTAAGAGAGCAAAAGCCAGTGCCATGTTATGAAAGGGCATTCCGACATGGTTGCTTAGTCTCTCCTTATGTTTTCAGGATGGGGAAAGCAATCTTAGTATCAGACACATGGTTGTTTTTTTTTTAAATAAACCTTGTAAGTGATAATAGAAATGGAAAAGAGAGTAGTAAATTGAACCACTGTCCTGGTGAAGTTAAATAGGAGTTGAGCAAGAAAAGATTTATTTTGAAAGGACTGTTTTTTGTTAAAAAAAAAAACTTTTTCTGAAAAATTTATAGAGTGCGATCTAGATTGAACCAAGTCCTATTTCAGTGAAATCATTGTGCAGTTTTCATTCTGAGTAAAGAAGAAAGCCCCGTTCATTGCATTAGGACGCAAGTGTGGCAAGCAGAACCATCCTATTGACTGGTAGACAAGAGGGCTAAATTCAGTTGTTAGTCCTGACGGTAGTATACACATGGAATCAGTAGAACTTACATAAGACTGAACTTCCCAAGCACCCATTGATTCAGTGGCTCTGCTTTAGTTGGGACAAATTACTGGATTTTACTATGCCTTTCTGCCTTTGTAACCAAAGGTTTGGGGAACATTTTCCTACCCACTTCCAACTCTGGAGCTTCTTTTTGAATAGAAATTTCCAAGGAGCTCGCCTTGCTAGTCTGTTGCAGCAAAAACAACAGAGACTTATGGCATCATAAAGAAACAGAAGTTCTGTTTGTCATAACCCTTTGTGGACCACAGGTCACTTCGTCTGATTGATGCAGTACAGCAGTGGTTCTTAACCTTTGTTACTCGGATGTTTTTGAACTGCAACTCCCAGAAACCCCAGCCAGCACAGTTGGTGGTGAAGGCTTCTGGGAGTTGCAGTCCAAAACTCCCGAGTAACCCAAGGTTAAGAACCAGTGCAGTACAGTATTTGAGGCACATCTTTAAAGGCTCGCTGGTTATGATTTTGGGGGCTGGATAGAATGAAATGAGATTCAGAAAATGACACCTGCTTTACTAGCAGTGGTCGTCAACATTCAGAGGGATGGAGGACCTAAATATCCTGGCAATAGTAAGGTCAGGTACACCAGTCAGTTACTCTCTAAGGTGAATGAGTGCATTTGAAGAATCTGAAGGATTCCCTACACTTTGGAAGATGTGGGCTGTGCCCACAAAAGTTGATGGCAAATAAAACTTGCTAGTCTTAAAAGTGCCATAAATCTTTTTGTTGTTCTTAAATAATTTCTCTGCAATGGGTTCTGTGGAAGGGAGATAAACAACACCAGCTCCATTTAGCAAAGAGTAGGAAGGGGAAGGATCGAGGTTCTCTATGTTACTCGGATGTTTTTGAACTGCAACTCCCAGAAACCCCAGCCAGCACAGTTGGTGGTGAAGGCTTCTGGGAGTTGCAGTCCAAAACTCCCGAGTAACCCAAGGTTAAGAACCAGTGCAGTACAGTATTTGAGGCACATCTTTAAAGGCTCGCTGGTTATGATTTTGGGGGCTGGATAGAATGAAATGAGATTCAGAAAATGACACCTGCTTTACTAGCAGTGGTCGTCAACATTCAGAGGGATGGAGGACCTAAATATCCTGGCAATAGTAAGGTCAGGTACACCAGTCAGTTACTCTCTAAGGTGAATGAGTGCATTTGAAGAATCTGAAGGATTCCCTACACTTTGGAAGATGTGGGCTGTGCCCACAAAAGTTGATGGCAAATAAAACTTGCTAGTCTTAAAAGTGCCATAAATCTTTTTGTTGTTCTTAAATAATTTCTCTGCAATGGGTTCTGTGGAAGGGAGATAAACAACACCAGCTCCATTTAGCGAAGAGTAAGAGGGGGAAGAATCGAGGTTCCAGTCTAGAGCCAATAGTCATCTTTCTCCGAGTTCCTCCTTTCCTTCTTCTTTCCATTTTTTGGAATTCCTTTGAAGAAGCACTTTCCTCTGCCTTGTGGAATAGCTTTCTCAGGACAGATCTCCGTCTCCAAGAGCAGAGCTTGAACCCTTCTTGCATATTTAATCTCTGAAGCTATAGAAAACAAAATTGTTCTGTCTTCCACCTCATAGCCTTCAAATATTTGGCTATCATAGGGCCTCTCAGTCTTCTCCTCTCTAGTTAATCATGCCTATCCTCCCTCAGCTGTTTCTCGTGGCTCATGGTTTCCAGAACTTCTTCTGGCCCGGTTTTCCTTCTTTATACATGTTCCAGCTTTGTTAGCCTTGGTTTCTCCTTCTTCCATGTCTGTAAATTGAAAAAATAAGTTGCAGTACTTTCATTTTCAAAAAGTAAGCACTGTTGTGGCAAACTACATTAGCCAGGGAGTGCTTGTGAAGGTTTACTGTAGAAGTACTGAGTATTCATTTCCCTTTTGTGTGTCTTGTGCTTTTGGTTTCTTCTAGCCCTGCTAGTGCAGCTGCAGACTTCCTGTGTCACTTTCCCTCTCTGTTTATCTCTGCTCTTCAGTGGCACAATCTCTAATTGTTTTATAGCTGAATTCTATACTTATTAAATGTTGTTGCGCTTGAAGTTTCCATGAAATCCGGAGGCCTTTCTGTTACATAGTTGGCCACTGGCTTCAGAGAGACATGAAACTCCGGTCAAATGGATTGGCCTGGCTAAGAACGACACGCGAGGGGCGTTAGTGTTTGTCTTCTGTGAGTTCATGGGTACCGGTGATGAGGTTGCCCTGTCTCAGGCTTACTCCTGAGCTTCAGTGTTTGGGGTCTGTTCTCCAGATCTCACACTTTGGAACTGAAATTTCGCAGAATGGGACAGTGTCAGCTGCCACCCTAGATGTCGAGGTTTATTCTCAAAACGTGCAATTTAAATATGCTTGGAAGCATCCTCACGACTAAACGACTAAACGACGAAAACGAGAGCTATACTTGCTGCTATTACTGCTGGAATTCTCTTTCTGCCTCTGTCTCTCTCTCTCTCTCTCTCTCTCTCACACACACACACACACACATATACACTGAAACACCTTTTTAAAACTCTTGATGACAGCTCTACCTTATGACAACCCAAGAACCTGCTGCTAGGTCTCAGGCCTGCCAGTTACAGTGAGCTTACAACTGTGAAGTGTAATTTACCACTGTGGTGTTCACAGCTTCCTGGAGAGGTGCTACTCAACTGCTGGCAGTATTATAAATGTCAAGGACAGCAGACTAGTGAATAGTGAAGGATTACGGAAGGTACAGTCTAAAACATAAGGAAGGTACCAGTTTGGGAAAGACTGATGTACATTTTAGGCTTCACGTGATTTTTTGCAGTCACTCCCTCTCTGCTGAGGACTGTGGTCCTGCAGGGGTTTGGACTGGGATCTCAAGCCATTGTCAGGACCTAACCAAATAAAAATGATTTCCAGGAACCTTTGGAGAAGTCACAACATTAAAGGGACTATAGGTGCCAATGCTTGGAATGAGCCCCAAAGTGATCCATGGTTTTTGAATTGAGTAAATTTATTTAAGCAGAGGTCAGAGCGGAATGCAAATCCATTAAACAAATGTTCTCTTCCAGCCCTTCAGTTTCTATCCTGCAATTTCCCTGTTTTGAAAGCACCAAGAAGCTGTTTTAATGAGCTTTTTTCCCCTTAAGAAGCAGGATACAGTATTTGATTATATCTTTCATGTTCCCAACCACGTAAGATCCTAATATTGCTTCCATGCCAGTGTCCCATTATTTTCTTTGCCCTTTGAAATACATGAAACAATACTAATGGTGGTGATGATTATGATATGGATGATGATGGCTAGCATCTGTGATCTTTTTCAAGTTTATCGTTCTCTTGTGCTTTGGTGAAAGAGGCACCTATTCCAAGGAGTTCTCAGAGTAATAATGATAGCATGGCTTTCTTAGCACATGTTTACCAGCTAGTGATGAAAATAAAATCTGCTTTTCTAATATTTTGTTTGCTCAACCTAAATACTTTGTAGCTACAGGGAAATATTTATTTACTGGCTGCAAGATGTGTACGTCTTGCACCCTGTTAATTCCAGCTATGCCTGTCAAATTATAAACAGATACAGTATTATTTTTTAATATGTTTATAAAACTGGATTAGCTTTGGAATTCAAAATGACATACATCTGGAAAATCTTTTATTATTCCATAAGGGGAAAACTTGCTTTTAAGTAAGCCGCACAGGCTTATTTTTTTAAAATATAATGGAGACTGAAGAAGCTACTTGGATGAGCAGGGAAACATTTCAGCCTAACAAGAAAGAAGTCCAGTTGCCATGACTCAACTTCTAGATAATAGAGACTTGCGGCACATTATAAAACAGGGCTTTGATGCAGGTAAATGAGTGATATTGTTGGGTGCAACTTCTGCTGCCATCACTATAGAACAGTGGCTCCCAGCCTTGGAGAACCCAAGTGTTCTTAGACGTCCACTCCCAGAAACCCCAGGCAGAAGAGCTGGTGGTGAAGGCTTCTGGGAGTGGCACTCCAAGAACACTTTGGATACCTGAGGTTGGGAACCACTGCTATAGAATCATAGGGAATGTTTTGCAGTGAAAATGTACACATCAAAACCACAAACTCATTTTTAAGTATTTCCTTGTTTTGGCTTCAACCAAACATTTATGAATTGTATAAAGACCTCTATGAATTATTAAATATTCAGGCAGCACTTACCTTCATCTTACAAGGAGGGTTGGCATGCAGGTGTGCTTCACTTATTCTCAAGAGGTGATTTATCATTTCAGTTGAAATGTTCTGGCAACTGGGTGCCTTTAAATTCAGTGAGCTAGGCTCACTCATAAGCATTTCCTACATCTCTAGCCCTTGCTATGTTTCCTCATCTGCCGCCGCCACAGATTAGAAGGCAAACACTGTTTTGAACTACTGAAGGTGTGACTACATTGACAGATAATACAAGAAATGCTCCATGATTGGGTCAGGTTTGCATTTATTCCCCATTGACTATACAGATACCTCTGTTCCCCCTGCTTGTACTTTTTCCTTCCGCCCCCCGGGAATCTGCTTCCTCCCCCCCTCCAATCAAATGCATTTCCATCTGTTCAAGTGGTATAATCACTTGAGCTGATGCAATGGGTAGCCATAAGCTGACTTTCTCAGCTTGCTAGTTCAGGGTGGGGAGAGGGGAAGCAAAGGGCACTTGTGACAGTGGCAGTTCCCTCAACTGAGCACCCCTTTATCTCCAGAGAATTTTTTTTTAAAAAAAAACCCTTGATCCCAGTGTTAGTTCACTAGAGCAGCTAGGGGGCAACAACAAAAAAGTGAGTGAGGAGGAAACTGGCAAAGAGGAGGAAATTGGCAGCCAGCCCTTGTTTCCATCTTGTTCAGGTAGGTCTACTATAACTGTGTCTCCTGCAAATCTGGATAGCTGCAGTAGAGCCACCTTAACAAAGTGCTGACCAGTGCAGATTGGCAAGTTCCTCCACTCTGTCTGCCGACTCCTGTGAAATCTGCTAAAACAATTTCAGCCAAGGAAACCTGATTTCCTGGGTGTGATTTCACAGCAGATCACCTCATATTTTTCCTGCTGTGTAGTTGCACACTGAGACACAGGTCAGAGATAAGGAATGTCCGGCCTGTGGGCCCAGTACAACCCATGGAGGTTTCCCATTTAGCCCATCAGCTCTTCAGCTAGCTCCACTCCCACAATGGTTTGCCCTAGGTTAACAAACGCATAATGCTTATCCTTCTGTAGCACTTAACTGGGCTCCCCAAATTTGACCTCCAATCACTGATCGGAGATAGAAGTTCAGATTTTCCCTACCTCAATACTGCAAAAAGGGCTACTTTTATGTAATGATGAACTGAGAACCAAGTATGTATGGGATATGCTTGATAAGGGAAGAGAAGACCCTTTAATGTTATCACACCCCCAAAAGCTTTAACCGGTCCCTGGCCATGGGTTTGGTGGACTTAATCTACTCTTTTCTACATATCATATAATCTTACCTAAATGCAGTGTTATTGCTTAAGTACCATGGTTGGAGACCTCACTTTCAGGTTCAAACTGTTTCAGGAGTGATCTGAGATCAAGTAATCTCAGCTCTTGTTATGCAGAAGAAAAAGAGCTTGTGTTCTGACTTCTGATTACAAAGCCACTTCAGAAATTAATTGAGTTGCAAAAGGGCCATAAAATGCTACTCCTTTTCTCTGTGAGTCAAGAATTGGGATGACTTGCTTTCAAATAGCTCAAGAAACACTATGAATTTGGAAGTGTGATCCCCGACCACAGTACTTCAGCACATTTACTGTATTTAAACTCCTACTCAGTATAACGTGCATTTGGATTAATACTTTTGACAATGTTAGTACCTTCAAAAACCCAAAGGTTTTTGTGGTCTGCCTGCCATCTTGACATGTCCCCTCTTTCTTACTAGCAGTGTTTGAATAGCTTGATAAAGACAGTAAACTTAAGAGTCCGGGCATATACAGTGGTGCCTCGCTTAACGATTGCCTCGTTTAGCGATGAATTCGCATAACAATGTGTTTTTAAAGAAAATAATATGCACCGCATAACGATGTTTCCTGTGGGCGATTTTCGCTTAGCGAAGTTTGGGACCATGCTTCGCATAACGAATGCGATTTTAGGTCCCCTGCTTCACTTAACGATGTTTTTTTTTCAATTAAAAAAGTGTCTTAGAAGGGTCAAAAACAGTTCTAAATGCTTGGATTCGTTAGAGGACCCCCTAAGTCATTTGGCTTTGATCTGACTTTTCGTTAATTTATGGTTAATTTTTTTTTTTGGCCCATAGGATCCAATGGACCTGTCAAAATCTGACAGCTCCATGCTTTCCTATGGGGGAGAAAACAATTCGCCATAAATTAACGAAAGTTCAGATCAAAGCCAAATCAGGTTTGCACACAACTTAGGGGGTCCTCTAACGAATCCAAGCATTTAGAACAGTTGCTGAGTCTTCATTAATGTTTTGTGAATTTGTTCTTCCCCCATAGGAAATAATGGAGCTGTCAGATTTTGACAGCTGTCAAAAGTTGGGGGCAAAAAATTCACCCTAAATTAACGAAAAGTCAGATCTAAGCCAAATTACATTTGCACCCGTTTTAGAAGGTGCAGAAGCTATTCCAAGCATTTAAAACCATTTTTGCCCCTTGTATGACACATTTAAAATTGCAAAAATTGACTTCGCAAAGCCATTGAAATGTATTGAGTCAGCTACAATACATTCCAATGGAGGAAACATTGTTTCGCTTAGCGATGTTTCCTATGGGTTTTTTCGCTTAACGACAGCAATCCGTTCCAATTGGAACGGATTAACCGGTTTCCAATGCATTCCTATGGGAAATGGTGTTTCGCATAGCGATGGTTTCACATAGCAATGTTTTTTTTTTTGAACGAATTAACATTGCTATGCGAGGCACCACTGTAATCATTTGCAATTCCTCTGAAGTTGACGTCAGTTTCAAACAGCTCTATGTATTATATCAGTTTGTTCCATGCAGCTGATCGTCTTGAATCCTAAAACAACAATTAATAGTAGCCTGAATTCAAACATATCAACTCTTTATTTTGTGGCCACTGAGTTTTACAAATAGTAAGTGGAACAAATATCTTTGAATGTGCCTTTGGATTCACTACACAAGCAATGACAGCAACATGTTGCATGGAGAGACTTGGCCCTCCTGACTGAACAAGGAAACGATGAAGCAGCTAAGGATGGAGTCCATTTGAAGCTGTTGGTTATGCCGTTTCATGATTTTTATGGAAAATACATACATAATGTTCACAAAGTGCATTTTGTTCAAGAAAACTGGACACCTGAGAAGATCCTATTATAAAAGTGCATGTGCTCTGTATTCACTTCGCTGTTGGCAGAAATTTTCAGTCAAGGGAAAAATACACATATACAGCTTTAGTTGTAGCCTCAGCATTCTGGACAACATCGTCTGCTGTACTGTTTTTTGTTTTTTCGTTAGAAGTACCTGTGTGTTCAGCAAGCTAACATAAGAATTCATGTGCAAAGCAAGCTCCTCTGGGTTTTCACTTCAAGAGGCAATGGGACGTTTACCTATCTAGCATCATAAAGTGTGTCGGTCCAGTAGGGTTGTTCTGTGCTTGGGGCTGGCGCAGCATCCCAAACCATGACCTTGTTCTCTCATAAGACTACTGGTGGGGTGGGCCACCCCAGAATGGTGGGGTCCTTTGCCTGCCAGAACAGCCCTGTGAGCGACACAATATGCTAGGGCAGATTCTTCCTGTGTCAGACACTCAAAGAGAGTTAACATGGTTCCAGATATTCTGTAGCACACTGTTTTGGGTTTGCACTGGTTGTGAAGGAGAAAATGCATATGTCTCATCCTTTCCTAAATAAAGGACCCACACAGAGGAAAGGGGGCTATGTCACATTTATAAAGGAGGCAAGGCATTTGTGCGTATTAAAGCAGCTAGGAGGCAGCTTCATTCTGTGGAGCTCAAGACAAAATAGATGAACTAAAGTCTCTCTTGACACTTTTGGCTTGTAGGCCTTGATGCTTGAGAAGGCACAGCTGTATCAAAAATGCTGAAAGGCATGCCTCCTGTCCCTCTCCTGACGGAATGTTCTTGTTTCACAGGTCGAGTTTCTTTCTTCACATCAGGCTCTGAGAACCTCCATCATGTGGAAAAAGTCCACTGGGGCACCCGTTATGCCATCACCATTTCCTTCACCTGCAATCCGGACCATGGCATCGGGGATCCTGTTTTGACATAATAGATGGCTGAGATGGATTGACAGAGAGGCCCTGTGCAGGAGAGAGGAATGGACAAGTTTTAATTTCCTATGTAAATTCTACTGCATTGATTCTTCTTACATTGGTTTAATGTAAATGTGAATGGTCTCCATGCATTCGTCTTCTTCATTAAGTGTTGCAAACAGTGCCTTAAGGACCATCTTTCTAAGTCTCCTGTAATGATATGGTTGCTTTTGTAAGGCAATTGTAAACAATGGTTTTGTTTCTTCTTCCCACCATTTAAGGAAACATCAGAAATCAGGGGCTACAGAACATGCCATAGACACTGCTGTTCATCTAAGGGTGGAGACAGCATTTTCTCTGCTACAAATAGTCCCTTTTCAACACTGTTTGGGTTGCCGTGTAAAACAAACTGTGAGCAAATGAATACTCAGGAATATGTTGTGAAAGGGTGGGTCTTTGTCCCAACCATGCCATGTCTTTTAACCATCATGCCAGCTTTCCCCTGTAAAGATATACGTTCTGGAAAATAAGCAGGATAAATGGCAACCAGTTTTCAGACTTGAGCATTTGCCCATTTTATACAACCCCAAGCATCTTGTTTCATACTAGAACACACAACTATCTTTGAGGCTATTATCCATGTATGTTTTCTTTTCTTTTTTAAAATCCCTTCCTAATTCTAACATACTTCTCCATGAAAATGGAATATGGGCTTTCACTAGGGGAATGTTGTGTTTTGTTGTTTCCAGCAGCTGTGATTGAACTGAGGGAGGGATCTATTGATTGAACAGGAGGAGAGTGCTCAGGATGAAACTACTGCACTGAACGTAATTTGCGTGAGAAAGGATCAATATGTGTTCCTTATAATGGTAGGAATTCTTTCTCCTCTGTTCTGATTTCATTTTGTTTAGTCTTAGGCACCCTAAAGCTCAGGATAATCTGTATATTAGGAATCGATCCAAGCTTGCTTGGAAGGAACTTTTTAACATGGATGTACAAGTTAAGCAACCCACCAAAATAATTCTGAAATAATCTTCAAGAGGTTCGTGGGACCCTGATAATAATGAGCCATCTTTTTGCAGAGTGCAAGTGAAATTGGTAGAACTTAGTAAGACTGACAAAAAAATTGGGATGCAGTCAAAAAGTTTAAAATAACAAAGAAAGGAATGGTCATGTGACACCTTTTAAGACCAACAGATATATCTCAAGATGAGCTTTTGTGGATTACAATTGACTTTTTAAGATCTGCATGGAATATAGTATGGAAGTCACAAGTTTAAATGTACAGTGGTCATGGTGATGGAGTTACGATCAGAGTGAAATGGGATACAGAAAATTACAATTCTATTAGAAACACTGGTCATAAACTTTGAAAAGGCTGGTTAATGTAAACCTATATGCTAGGATCTAAGCTGCTAATTGCCCCTTGAACTCTTAAAGTAATGACTAATGTTTCTGAGAGGATGTTTGTGTGGGCCGAAGTCCAAGTGTGACCTGCTACTTCTTAAAATCTTCTCTGAAAACAGTATTTTTGCAATATGTAGAACTACTATAAAAACCAGTCTAGAAAGTAGTACTAAATACCTGTGTACTAAGAAGCCTTTGTTTTGATTCAAGCTTTTGTTCACAAAAGCTCATGCAAGAATAAGATGTTAGTCTTAAAAGCAGCAAAAGACTTCTTCCTTTCTTTTGCCACAGAAGGAGATAAACGTGGTTGGGTCTTCAAAAATAAAAGGCTTGCTTTCTCAAGATCCTACTGTGGTTATTATGAAAATGTAAATATTTCAAGGAGCCTTGTTTTAGATACATCAAAAAGTGTAGGCATTAATTCTCTAATAATTCTCTAGCTCAAAATTCTAGTTTTGTTCACATGTAAGAAGACCTTGTTCTTTAAGGTGTGCAGGAAAAGATTATTCATTGGGCGCCCTAGAGAATAAAAACTTGGTACACCACCCAAGTTAACAAAGCTTGGCTGTTTTGTTTATTTTAGATGCCTGTTCAGTCCCATACTTAAATACACACCATTCTCCAGCTGTGTATTTAAGAACTAGCCTGGTAAAAATAGGCAAATTGGCAAGTACCCAGAGTCCCATGCAAACAAGCGACAGAGATGCTGATTGTGGAAGAAGAGTAATTTCTTCCTCTCTGGTCTTCATTGATGAAGCTCACATAACACTGAATGCCACCGCTCTGGACCGTCAAATGGAAAGCTGTAAGTCAATTCCATAACCCATACTCTCAGTTTTCTTTTATTAAGCCGTGCATAGCAAATGGGTGGTTTTTAAGTCTGTTTGATATTTTTATAGTAGATGTATATTGGGTTACTTCTTTATATATATATTGCTTGTCAGGAGCAGAAATAAAGAGGGCTAAACACAGTAGCAAAAGGGACGGAGGCCTGTTATCAATGGGTTCCTTCCTCTGGTCTTCAGTTTATCACCCCTCCCAGTCTTCCCCCCACCCCTAATATGGCAGTTATTCTTTCTAGAGCACATACAGTGTCTCTGTATTCAATGGCTTCAAATGATAACTTTTAAACCCAGATGGAAGGTTAATAGGCATTGTAGATTAATGCTGGAGAATCTATTTGTTGGTCCGACCAATGAACGAACCTAATTTGGAAGTTTTTTTAAAAAAATGACCTGGTAGCACAAGATGGATTCTTCCATACTCCCACCTACAGGCCTCCAATTTACAGGTTTCTTTGCTGATCTACCAGGTTTCCTCGTTCTCTTCCTTCAGTCATGGCTCTCAGACTGAATTCTCCCACTAACACTCTTGGGTTACACATCTAGGACTCGTTGCAGTCTCTGGTCCCATGTGACTCTGGCCAGAGTTTACTTGAAGAAGCTTAGGATAGAAGAAAATAGGGAATAGTATTGCCAAAATGCCTGAAGGATGTGCAATATGTTTGTGTCACACATTCATGTAAAATAAACCATAACAAAACCCAATCCTTGTCTCCATCCTATATCCACTGCAGATTTGGTGGTTCACTGGCTTACTGTGAATTGTTACACTTCTCTGGGTCCATGAGGATAAAATAAAGCTATTTCCCTTTGAAACGATAACCCAACATCAAATAGGGAATGGGGTTGAGCAGTCCTTGCCTCCTGCTAGCCTATACAGGTTTGCAAAGCATAAGGTTATTTCAACTGTTTGTTTGCACTCCTGCCTACTTTATTTTTATTTCTCTCCCTGATATTAATTAAGTGTCTAAATTCAAGTACAGGTTACATCATATACATATGTATCACCAGGGAATATTTTACCACATGCTAGATGAGTTGGACACTGCCTACTTTGGTTTAACGGGAGGGAGGTAAGAAGACAAAAGATTGGTTCATGCCTCAAACAAACAGAAAAGCAAGTTTCCCCTCTCAGATACAAAACTCATTCATTTTGGTGTTGTAGCCAATAAATCACAGACTGATCTTTTTCTGAAACTCTTTGGTGTGTTCCAGTAGCCAGTGGATATTTGCAATATGATCTTGAATACTTCTTCCTTTTTGGAATCTGGCTTGAACATCAGGTATTCCTTGCTCCCTATAAGGTGAAAACCTTTGTTGCAGAACCTTGAGAAATTGCACGAGAAATTAAAGCAATGGTCCTGTCGAAATAGACTTGGGAAATCAAAGGAGCTCTATATCTTTTTATCTGGAGCTTTCAACAAGCACTGTTTCAAGCTAGCAATGCATGATGATTTCAACAGAGACGCTATGGAACATTTTCCTTTCACTTGAACATCAGGCATTTATCACTCCATATAACACGGGTTCCCACCTTGGGAGTCAGGATGCCCAAGCGGGTCACAAAGTCTTTTCAGGGGTGGGGGTCCCAAGCGGGTCACAAAGTCTTTTCAGGGGGTGAGGTGGGGGTGGGGGTCACCACAGCTATTTTTAGTTGCAATTATTTTTGTATTTATTCTATTAAATATGGTATACACAATGTTGTTTATTTTAATCGTCTTGGCCCACAGATAAGTAATTTTAATTTGAAATGGAATTGCAGGCAACCTAAAGTTCTTAGCTATTTCTGTACCCACTTGGGCAGATTTTCCTTTTATGCATGCACATAACCCCCAGCCCCTCTGAAGGGGCTGCTCTCACTTTTTTCTCTCTGCTTCTCCACTCCCACATTTGGAGGACTGACGTCAGCCATTCAGACTGGAGGGTTAGCCCGACTTAAAAGAGGCTAGAAGGAAGTGTATGGCAGGAATGCTGAACCCCAAGATGGTGGCAGGATTGAAAAGTTGTGGGTCCACAAGACAGGACTTTCTCTGTAGCAACTCCCATATGGTAGAACTTCCTCCCAAAGGAAGAAATATGTATTTATTTATTTATTTATTTTATTTCTATCCCGCCTATCTGATCATATTAGACCACTCTAGGCGGCTTACAGTAAAAACAACAAGATTACCCTGGGGAATCCCATTTTAAACCATGTGTTGGGTCCTGGGAGCCGCCTCGGTAAGCGAGGCGTGAAAATGCTGCGGGCGGCCTTTTTCCCCCAGCTGGGCGGTGCTGGCTTCCGAGCGCCCGCGGTGGACGCTTCCCCGGAGGTTGCTTTGAAGCCTGCTTCAGAGCAACCTCCAGGGAAGCGTCCACCGCGGGCGCTCGGAAGCCAGCACCGCCCAGCTGGGGGGAGAAGGTTGGAGTGCCTGCGGTGGACACTTCCCCAGAGATTGCTCTGAAGCCTCCTTCAGAGCAACCTCCGGGGAAGCGTCCACCGCGGGCGCTCGGAAGCCAGCACCGCCCAGCTGGGGGAAAATGGCTGCCCGCAGCGTTTTTGCGCCTCGCTTACCGAGGCGGTGAAAATGGCGGCCGGATGGGGGATTTTTTGCTTACCGGTGAGTTTTTCCCCAATAGGAATGCGATAAACGGAGTTTAATGCGTTCCTATGGGTTCCCCCCCGCATAGCAAAGAATCCGGATAGCGACGTTAATCCTGGAATGGATTAACGTCGCTATGCAGGGCACCACTGTAGTTAAAACGATAGTGTTCATAAAACATCTGGCTTTTGGAGAATGTTTGGATCTACCTTTAATAGGACTTTTTTAAAAAAAAATACTTTATTCCACGGTAAATGGCTTTGGGAAGCCTGCTAAACAGGAAGGCAATAAAATACTAAACAATAACTTGAAATTCAGATATTAATTGGATTCTAGCCATGCTGCCCTGTGCCTATAATTAGATTTACTAGCTTGGACTAGGCTTTATAGTAATGTGGATAAGAAGACTGGCTCAGTAAGAAGTCAGTTGGTTCCCACTGCTTTTTTCATGATGGACATGTAACGAAAGTAGTGATGCAGTGCTTTATCTCCCTACTGAAACGTCTCAAAGAGGCATGCATGTGGCTCCAGTTTAAGAATGTGATCCTAAAAGAAATCCACTTAATTCAACACACTTTTTCTCTATCTTAGCTTACACTTGCTAGTTCTAAGGGTGTCCCAGGTTTCTTATTACAAAAAAATATATCAAGTCCAAAAGCTGTGCTTTCCTTCCTCCTGTTTTGTACAAAAAGCTGTCTAGAGGTGAAGACTGAGAGACAAGCAAAAAGCTTAGATCAGTGTGTTGAGGATTAATTGGATTCTAGCCATGCTGCCCTGTGCCTATAATTAGATTTACTAGCTTGGACTAGGCTTTATAGTAATGTGGATAAGAAGACTGGCTCAGTAAGAAGTCAGTTGGTTCCCACTGCTTTTTTCATGATGGACATGTAACGAAAGTAGTGATGCAGTGCTTTATCTCCCTACTGAAACGTCTCAAAGAGGCATGCATGTGGCTCCAGATTAAGAATGTGATCCTAAAAGAAATCCACTTAATTCAACACACTTTTTCTCTATTTTAGCTTACACCTGCTAGTTCTAAGGGTGTCCCAGGTGTCTTATTACAAAAAAATATATGAAGTCCAAAAGCTGTGCTTTCCTTCCTGTGTTGAGGGTCTGCTTCCACATGAACTAAAGAACAGATGTAGAGCTATGCTGGACACCTGAAATGTGGATAGTAACAGTGGTGTGCCGTAACCCTTTAGAGCAAACATTTCTGCAGTCAGGAAGAATACCGATATTCTTTTTCTCTCTCCACCCCTACAGACACAAAGACACAGTGATTCTGAACAGCTTTAAGAGGTCTCCGCCACTATCACCACCCTTGAGTAGAGTATTTAGCGAGCCTAATGGGACTAAAGTGTTCCTCACTTCCTTTTGTAAGGCCTGAAGGCTATGTGTTAAAGCTACCCAAAAACAGGGGGGAAAAAAGGGCCTGGCCATACTCCACACCGTGGCAGTGGTCTCAGTCTCTGGGCAAAAAAAGAACTCTCTAACTTTGCTTCCTTAAACATTGCTACATTCCTCACTGAAGCTACTGACTTTTTGGTGGGGGAAGTTAGGGGTTTACTAGCTTGGACTAGGCTTTATAGTAATGTGGATAAGAAGACTGGCTCAGTAAGAAGTCAGTTGGTTCCCACTGCTTTTTTCATGATGGACATGTAACGAAAGTAGTGATGCAGTGCTTTATCTCCCTACTGAAACGTCTCAAAGAGGCATGCATGTGGCTCCAGATTAAGAATGTGATCCTAAAAGAAATCCACTTAATTCAACACACTTTTTCTCTATTTTAGCTTACACCTGCTAGTTCTAAGGGTGTCCCAGGTGTCTTATTACAAAAAAATATATGAAGTCCAAAAGCTGTGCTTTCCTTCCTGTGTTGAGGGTCTGCTTCCACATGAACTAAAGAACAGATGTAGAGCTATGCTGGACACCTGAAATGTGGATAGTAACAGTGGTGTGCCGTAACCCTTTAGAGCAATCATTTCTGCAGTCAGGGGCTGGCAGAGTTTTTTGGATTCAACCTCCCAGAATTCTCCATCCAGCATGATTACTATTTGATCTGGGGCATTGTGGCCTGGGGTGAGGGTGGGGGACTTCTGCAAGCTCTGACTAAGGCCAGCTTTTTT